GGAAAGCAATAAAGCCCACCCATTCACCTCCTGCTGGCAGGCTGGGGTGAGAGGATAGGCAGAGAAGCTGGAGGGGAGCCGATCCGAGCCTTCCAAAAGTAAGAGGCTGGGGGAAAGTGTGTGTGCTACAGCATGGCTCTTTGCCTGGCTTCCTGCCTCCTCCAGTAGTCTCCTCAGTGCTCGCTTGTGCTCTCCCTCCTCAAGTGTAGTTTGATTGCAGATGGAGCCATGTTGCCTTTTCAAACTTGTAATCAGTGAAGCTGGGCTGGATTTTTATATAGTTTTATCCAGCTGTGTGTGTGTGTGAGAGAGAGAAATGGATGGGGGCCTGGGGAGGAAGTCACTACACTTGGGGAGGGAGAGCACATGTGAGCACTGAGGAAACCACAGGAGGAGGCAGGAAACCAGGCAAAGAGCCATGCTGTAGCACACACACTTTCCCCCAGTCCTGGAAGGATCCACCATGTAAAAATCCAGCCCAGCTTCACTGATTACAGGTTTGAAAAGGCAATGTGGCTCCGCCTGCAATCAAACTACACTTGAGGAGGGAGACCACAAGCAAGCTAGGGTCCTTCCCTCCAGCCTTTGCCCAAAGCCCCGCACAGCACCAGGAGGATGAAGTTTGAATTCCTCCCCCTCCCACTGACCCACACGTACCTTTTCCAGCTGCTTCAGAGAGGACTTCAACTCTGCTCTTGTCTCGGGTCCTCTGAAGAAGCCCCACCCTCACTTCCTTCTCTTTGAGAAGCGCCTTGCAAATGGGCTGCAGGGCAGGGGAGCGTACCAGTATGGGGGCGTGGCCACGCCTCTGTGGAATGGGTACGCAAAAGTACGGCAAATTTCTGGAACTGGTACGCCTGAAGAGTTGCGAACCAGCAGGAACCCACCTCTGATTTATCCCGTTGTAATCAAGACAAAAGGTTCAAAATCACAAATTAGAATAGGTCCCGAGATGAAGATCAAAAGAAAAGGTAAACATTCCCCTCTCCTAGTTGAATTTTAATTTGAGATCTCTTGACCATTCTACAACATTTTGGTGTGGCACCAATTATAGAGAAGATGAGAGAAGGCCAGCTCCACTGGTATGGACATGTCTTGAAAGCAGTACCTTCCACCATTTCGAAGACTGCCTACCAACTAAAAGTCAGTAGCTGACGACCTTGCGGATGGCGAAAACAGAGATGGCAAGACAAAATCAACAAAGATATGCAAGTCGAAGGTCTGCACCCTGCATATGCAGTTGACCTTGCAAAGTGGTGTTCAATGATCTGAAAAGCGGACCCAGCACTTGCGGGAATACGCTAGGAAGATCTCTTTGATCAAATTTTAAAAAGTCTCCTTTCTCCAAAGAGATCACTGTTTTCGATCAACAAGTGCTAAACTAAGAATACCACAAACTCAGCTTGACTACAGAGAGGAATTCCTAGAGGGTGCACTTTCATGAAATAAGGGCAAGTTTTTCCTCTATATAGATCTTTTAGAAAACACTTAGTTCACTAGAGCAGCCACCTCCGACATCTGATTTTTGTATATTGTGTTCTTGGAATAAACTTCATCTCTGATTCAAGCAACTGCCCAAGGTCTTTATTCCCAGCTCAGAAACAAACCTGATAAGATTTCGTTCTAATACTACTATTCAGGAAAATGAGGGCAGAGGGAACAGACAAACAGCTAGAAGTATAATCTTTATTGTCATTGTACTTAAATACAATGAAATTGGTTTATCTTAAAAAATTTTTTGCCTAATTCTACTGTGGCATCAGGAGCTCAAAGCTGCAGCATCTAAGCGTGTCGCCATCTTGGGGGTGGGGGGAAAGTGCTGTGATGCTGTTCACAGCTTCCCTTGACCTTCATTATACATACACTTTGGAGGCTATGAAAAGCAAGTTAGAGGTATACTGTTCAATTAGGCTATTTCAAAACAAGAAACAGCAGATTTATATAATTGAAGAATCTGAAGAAAATGTGTTATGAAAGATTCTCTTTCAGAGATTGTGACATTTATAATAATGCAAAATAACTGAATCTTTTATCTAGAGAATCTATCCATTTCCTGTTCTTTGACCTTTAAAACATGATTATATGAAGAAAAATCTCTTATTATTTGGATCCACTTTAGTCTCTTTTTATAAAGACTTTTCATAGGAATAAAAGAAAATAATAAAGCAAATATTAACCTTTATTTGAACTGTGTGTTGTTCTTCTAAGAAAGTATCCTTTCAAAGACAATAAAATCTAACACAATTATTTTTTCTATGTAATAATACTGCATCGGTACCAATTATTTTGAAATACAGCATCAGTTAACAATTAGGAATCTTGCCATAAATGCAATACCTAATTTTAAAATGTAGTACTATAATACAAATGATTATGCCTAAGATATTTTGTCTTTCTTTTTTCAGAAAAACTTCTGCTTTTCTTACCATAACTTTAATATACAGTGAAATATCATATGACTAAAATGGTTCTAGTATCATGGTCTCAAAGTTATATAGTAACTAACAAAATAGAAGCATTCAACTTTTTGATGTAGGATAGCCAACATTTTAAGGGTGTTGATTTGAAGGGGATCTATGAGGACAAATAACTACTGAATTCAGTGAACTTGCCAAAACTGAAGTGTGATGTATACAGTCAGCATAAACAGCATAAGTAGACTACTATTTTAAGAAAGTATTCAATGGGCTCAAATATTGTAGAATCATATAATTGAAAATCTGACTGTTTACATAAGTAATAGAACAAGCGATTCCAAGGCAGAAAGAAGAGAAAGAAAATGTCATTCTAGAGAAGTTGTCCATTAATGGTCTTGTGGTATTCTGCTCCGTCAATGGCTTAAATGGTGGGGAACTAAACACTACTATAAATGTATGAACAAAAACTCCTCAATCTCATAATATTTACATAGACAAACAGAGAATGAAAACTGAAAAAGGAGATGATATGCAAGTAGAATACATATAGATTATGTGAAATGTTTTGTTTACTGAGAATTTAAAGGAACATTTTTCCTTTCAAGCTTTTGTTTAATATTATTTAAGAATTCTCTTTTAAAAGATACAAAAACCTATAATATTGCAGTATCAGTATGATAAGTAACACTGAATTTGCAATAAATGAAATGGCATTGGATAATATTGATTGCTATAAAAGCTTTGGTGGATGACACTGTGAAATGAATTCTCTGCTTAATGTGCTTCAAAGCACAGACGATAGCTTGAAAACAATTGTTCAAATAAAAATTTTACAAGAGCACTCTGGAATTTTCCAAATACTCCTTATCTCTGGAACAATATGGTTATACCCCAAAACATTGAGACACATAAAAATCACCTCTTCTTGCTGTATCCAGTTAATATAAATTCTGCAAAAACTATTTAAATATTGCCCCTTTGAAAACATTGTTTTATACTTGGATATTCAAATCTGAATCTGAAATAATTATAGTAAATAATTATTTAGTTATGAATTGTACAGACAGCCCCAATCTATTATAATTCTGAATGGTTTTTGGACTAATTTCCAATCCCCTTTAGCATTATGTTAGCTCTGCTTGTGTATATGTGGATAAGATAATCCAATTTTGAGAAATACAAGTGTATTGCCTATGTTTACAAAATATCTGAGGATTTATCAGGAAAGATACAAGATTTCATCTGTAGTTCAGTAATTTGGTTTGTGTTAAACTACAAATAGTAAATGTTAGTTAGTTGATAGTGTTGCCAGGCAAAAGAAAAAGGGAACCGGAAACAAGTACATGGCCCAGGTACTGTTTCTCCAGACGCTCACAATTTGGTTTCCTCCCACCCAATACAGGTAAAACAACTAAATGTTCAAAGGGTGGAAAACCATGTTTGCTTAGAACTGGGTCCAAATGGCCTTTGAAATTTCTTCATCACAGAAAGTGGGTGGGCTATTTCACTTTATTTCTCCAGATTAAGAAAAACTTTTTAAATTGTATCTCAAGAGCAGGATTCTGATGGTATCACTATTATTTGTCGTGGTATGTTCCCTTGGAATTTAATGGAAGCACAGGAGATTAAGTAGCCTGCAGGCCACTGAAGTGATTATTATGCAATGAAAGACAGAACAATCTGCGTGTATACTCTGCAGACCTTATAACAAAGTAGTACAAGAATACCATGTCATCCATGATTTTTTTTTAAAGATGAAAGCATTTTTAAATCCTCTTCCACTAAATTGACAGTAAAACAAATGCAGGAGAACTTCTCTGCTCTAGCAGTACAATCTGAAGAACTATCTGATGGTGGGAGCACCAGATAATGATATCCAACTAGTAGCTAATTCAGAGTTGGGGGTGGAGGGAAAGCCTGGCATGAAGAGCATTTGTGATTAAGTGATTATTCTGACACTGTATTGCTGCATACTGTCAATGTAGCATCTGTAATTATTAGGGAAGGGAAACTGGGGTATGAAGGCATAGAATTGCCTTGATTGAATGGTAATCATTTGAAATATGGGTATGAAGTGCTAATTAGATACTGAGTAAGTGCTGAGATGCAAATGCTACAGGCTTTCATTCTGGTTGGATAATAAGTGAGTGGGGCTCCTGCTGGAATGTGTCTCAGCACATTCCTTCTTTTCTTCATGACAGAAGGGAAAAACTGTTATTACTAACAGAAAATGTTTAACGGGAGATGAATCTTCAGAGATGTGAACATTTGGAAGCTATTCCATCTTCTGAAGCTGTATTTGTTTCTCAGATACTACTTGAAGAATGTAGTTTAATGGGGTACCATTCAACATTAGATTGGTTCTTAGCAAAACTGTAGCTATCTATGATCTCTTGAGAGCTGACCAATTTGATATACTGTATATATTACCTGATAGACCAGGTTGTGATTGATTTAAGTATGCTTTGCCTAAACCCAAACGAATAAGTAAAGTAAAATAAATATGATATGAGCCTGAAATTTTGTTACAGCTCATTTATGCTTATGTATTTAATACTAAAAGATCATATGACTTGTTCTTACCTGTGTATACAGTTTTTGGATTCAAGATACGCCATCCCAGCAGCAACATCTAATGAGAATTTCACCAACTGTTTGGTTTTTAGCTCATCCTTTTTCTTTCTTAAAAAGGAAAGAAAATCACCTCCTAGAGAAAGAGACAGATAAGCAATGAGACATGACAGGGTGATATTCCCATTTATCTCTCATTAGTGACGCTTGACTGAACAGGAGACAGTGTACTCTCTGCTATGCTTTTCAATCAATCTGATGCAAATTATGTGTTCTAACCACAGATCTATGTTCCTTCCTATTCTATCAGGATGCAAACCTCACAGAGCTATTTTCATTTGGATCTGTGACACTGCATTGTGGTTCTGTACAGAGCACATTCTCCCTTGGGGTGGGGTCTAACTTGCGTGTCTAAAATAACTTCTTAAATGATAGTTTGGGAATTTATTTGCATTTTTATCCTACTGCATTCCCTGAAAGCTCATTAAGATCAAAAGGAAAAAAAAACTGATATGAGAATTATCAAATATAATAGTCAGGGTTTTATTTTCAAAGAATCCATTTATTAATATATGCCTGGAATTCAAGGTCTTACACAGCTTAGCCCCGGGATAGATCACAGCAGGGGTAAGTAAACTGTAGCTTATATATGGTTTCCAGCATATAGAGCCCCTAAGATTTCCTTTCTATCTTATTTTACAACTAAGAAGCAAAATAGTCTTCAATGAGGTTTAAGGGATCTTATTTTACTTAAACTGCCAAAAAGAGAAGAATTCTAATTTTAGGTGCCATATCTCCATGTTTTCTTCAACACCCATAGGGTCTAAAATTAAATTAGAAATGCATTCCCAAAAGGGAAAAGATGTGTCTCCCTTGCTTTAAAAGAAACATCCTTTTTCTGTAATACATTCAAATAAATATACATATATTAGTAGGAATAAAAAAATCCAGCATACACATTTTTTTATTCTAAACTAATTAATTCTCCTGAATCTAAATCAGATGTTTGGGATTTTCTTTTTACAAAGACTTATTTTTAACGCAAAATATTTCAAACTGCAGAGATGTGCTTATTTATTACATAAAATCATTAACAACTGCCTTCATATAAATGGCATGAGTATGAGAGGGATTAGTTTAATTACCAAATCCTGAAATTTTTACCAAGTGTTCCAAAGAACTAGGCTTCCATACATAGACAGACTCAAGAGGTGATGACTTAATTACACACTGTTTAGTTAAAGCTTTCAAGAAAACAAACTGCTCTATTAAACCCTTTGGTTGTGTTCTCACCTACATTGCCTATCACAGATTATATGGTTCTAATTTATAACTTCAGTAAAAATGTTATCACATTTATGATCAGATTGAAACACTGGAAAATTGTAAATAAAATTCAGCCTATCATTAGTCATTTTAACAACAACAACAATAACAACAACATCCAAAGTGCCTTTACATAGCCTCAAGTGTGCAATTATGTGCTTCTTTAGAAAATGGATGTGAAAATAATTGTTACAGTTGTAGATTGCTTTTACATAAAATATTTCATGCTCCAATAGCCATAAATATGTTATAGTCAAGCCCCTAAAAATAAGTTAAACATGGGATGAGATGAATTTATTTATACACAGCTTTAGCAATCTCACTAATACTCTCATATTACTCAAGGTGATTTACAGTAGTTTAAAGAGCAAACTAAATCAGCAAAAATAAAACCTTATGAAATTAGACATAAGGGATCCTATACCCACTACCTTCTAACTATAAGGCATTTGTTCTTTGATAAACTGGGGCATTCTTCTCAAGCTTTTGCATCAATCTTGTGGAAAACTTCCCCAAATCACCTGAAGACCAAGTTTTATTAAAATGTGTAACCAATTTGACAGAACACTTTAAAAGATCTTTTTCCTATTAAATAATGCTACGTCTTCCTCATGATCGGAGTGATGTGATCATTCTAAAAATAATGGGGTTTCTATGATATTCCCTTCCCTTTACAGCTCGCATTGCCAACATTGATTGTGGAGATTCTTGGTAAAATGAGAAATGTGGATAGATATCAGAAAAATATATTCTCCTATTCAGTCAAAAGAAAAGTTTCACTAGATAAATAAGCAAATATGATAGAGTCTTGGGAAGCCATAATTTCCAAATAGGTCAACAAGACAAATGCACTTGTAAGAAAGAATGGCTTGATTTAATTCCAATACCAGCTCTCACACTCTCCAAAATTTCACTTAAGGACACAAAAATCCAAGACATATGTCTTAAAGAATGGAGAATATCTTATTTAGCAATGGCACTTGTGAAAAAAACGATGACATTGGTTAGAAATTGAATGTAAGCCAGATGTGTGATAAAGCTACCTTTTTCTTTGAAGAAAAGCAAATGCAATTTTAAGCTACCAGAAGAATAACTTCTAAATCTTATAAAGTAATCATGTTCTATTTTGCTGTATTTGGTTCTGAGCGCTACATTTGAAAGGATTTGTAGGAAACAGGAATAGGTTTGGAAATGAGCAACAAAGAAAATCTTTGTTTTCTTTAGAATTAGAAACTATAATACCTTTCAAATTTCTCAAACAAAGCCATATAGAAAAATGGTATTGTTAAAAATAATTTAAACAATTATTGGTACCCATATTGCTGCCCATCTCACAACAATGACCGACATACAAAGATTAAAATAAACTATTTACAAACAACAATCCATGATGCTTGAGGTAAATAATATGTTTCATTCATAAAGTTACATTAACAGCAGAGCTTGCTTAATGACCTGGGGCCAGGTCTTCAGAGCCTAATAACTGGCTAACAAGTTTGAAACTATCTTGATCTGGGGGCTGGGGGGGGGATGCTATTCCACAAGCAGGCACTGTCACAAAAGCATGACTCCTAGTTCCAACAAAATGATATTATTTACAGAAGAAACTTGAAACGTATCTTCTCTGTTAGATCTGGTGGGATGAGCGGAAACAATGGGAGAGAAGCAAACCTGCAAGTCGCCTGGCCTTATGCCCCCCATCTTGTTGCTTTTCTGAAAGATACTAAATATATGGCTTTATCAGCAGGCCTGGGAATCCCAAATGGAGATCAAGTGGTTGAGTTGTTGCTGTGCCATAGGTTTGGGTAATTTTTTCTGGTTTCTATGTTGTGGATTTTTAATGTTGTAAGCTACCCAGAGTCACCTGTGAGTTTGGTGGCCATTTAAATTTTACATACATACATACAAACATACATAAATGTAGGGTTTTATAGGTGGCGAACAACACCTTTCATTGTGCCTCATGGAGAGGCAGTATTATGTGAATGTAGCAAAAAATGCAAAAAACTGTCCATGGTATTGCATTCTGGGAAAGCTTCCGATTGTTCTTCAAGGTCAGCCCCACAGAGTGCCTTACAGGTCTTCTTTTCAAAGCTTATACTAGTTTTTTATTTTGAATTTTTTTAGAGGTACAGTTCAATTATACACAATTAAATATACTATCTGTAGATTTCCCTGAATTTATAATATTTTGATGTTTGTACTTTAAAATGATTGTCATCTGTACTGTCCCTGTTTCATTGACCTTGCTCTATGGATTTATGTATTGATTGCTGAGTAGGTAGTTCAGTTTCCTGAATGGCTGATTTGATTCCAAGCAGTTAAGTAAGTCAGAGCAAATTAGATTGCAACACAGAGCCTGGCTATAAACAATGGATTTGGTGATGCATTCTGGATGTAAGCAGGTAAGTTTACCAGATGTTATCTTTGTATTTGTTCAACAAAGTGCTAGCATATTTGAGCAAATAGAAAATAAATAAGAACATACAAATCATATATTCAATTGTGTAATATTTTAAAGTAAACCATTATTTGTTTAGTTCCTATTAATTAGTGGCTAGTCAATAGAAACTTTCCCAATGATCACTTTTAAATAATATCAATTTTTAAGACAGAACACACTTTAACTACAAAGAATAAAAATAGAACTCAAAATCTATAGAACAAAAAAGCAGAGAACATTTCTATATGGTACCAAATGACTGAAAAAACAAATGTAATATTTGAAGTTAAGTGCTTTGATTAAAACAGTGCCAAGTCCAAATAAAGAACATAGGATTGAGGATGAGAATTAAATATAATCACAGAAATCATAATAATTACTATAGTTTTACTGCAGAAGAAATGCTTGCCTTGCAAACACTTGTAGATATTTTTAGTGTTAACTGGATATTTATAGAACATTAATTTGTATATCATGCTATCAAATAACAAAAGTACTAAAATAAGATTTTCTCTCAACACATTTTATTTATTTCATTTTCATT